AGGCGCTGCCTGGATAACAAGAACATTAATGAAATAAATGAATGAATTGATTATTAAACCACGTCGAGCGAATAAAAAATGCATGCGATTTCCTTGCCACAAAAAAACGATTGATCCAAACCATATGATGATCCATTTTTCTTCATCTTCTTCCATTCTCTTCCCCTTTTTATTCTCTTCCCTCTCCTCCCTCTCCTTTACCTTCCTCTCCTCCTCCCTCTCTTTCCCTCCTATTCCCTTTCCCCCTATCCTTTCTCTTCTTCTCCCTCCTCTTTCCATCTTTTCCTTCTTCTCCCTCCTTCTCCGTCCTGTTCCCTCTCCTTCCTCCCCTTTCCCCTCTTTTCCTTCCCCCCTCTTCCCCCAACCTCTTTAGCTCATCATGGTCACACCTCATGTTTATTTGTTAGTCATGCAAATGTCATGTCATTATATATAGGTAAACAACAGGTAAGGGGGCGCAAGCCATGGAAATAAAGTAGGAAAGGAGGGGAAGGAACGGGTGGGGAGGGCGATCCCATTCGATTAGAAGATTAGTGATATGAGTGATTGATTGTGTGTGTGTGTGTGTGTGTGTGTGTGTGTGTGTGTGTGTGTGTAAATTTACTTTGGTCATTATGTACCCATTTAAAAATTTGTATATCTGTCTGTTGACCTATGTCCCTTTCATTACTTGTCTATCTTTTCATCCGCAAATCCACCAATCAACCTTCTCTCTTAACATCTTCCCATCTGCATCTACTATTAATAATCATGTCCTGTCTCTACCTATACATCATTCTATTCTCTATCCATTCAGTTCGCTCCCTTTTTCGTCTGTTCTTCTCTCCTTTCCGTCAATCTATCATTCTCATTCAGTGTTCCCCCCCCCTCCCCCTTTTCAATGCACAGCCGCTGAGTGGACTCTTACGGGCATTTAGCGAGGGTGGACACCGAGCCATTTTTCATTAGCAAAGGGAAGTAGGAAGAGGGGAAGGCAAGGAGAGGAGGGGGAGGGAAGGGAGTGAGAGGAGGGAGAGGAGAGAGAAGGGAAGTAGGAGAAGGGGCAAGGGAGGAAGGGAGAGGGGGGAGAGGGGAGAACGTTCTATCATTCCAATTATCTGTTATCAACTTGTCACAAGAACTAGTCAAGTGACAGAGTTGAAGCAAGGTTTCTGTCTGTCTTTATTCTGTTTATTTTTTCGCGATCTGTACATTTTCCTTTTGGTCTCTGCCTCTTTTTTTACTATTCCTTTTTCTCTGTCTTTCATCCTCCTTCCTCATTCCAACCTCTTCTGCCTTCCCTTCTCTTTTCCCTTCACCCTTATTTTTTCCCTTTGTCCTTTATTTTTCTCTTCTTTATATATTCCGCCCCCCCCCACCCCTGCCCTTTACCCTCCACACAACCCCCTTACATTTTTGCCGGAAGATTTATACACAGGTTATGTCAAAGGGAGCATTCAAGCCTTACGGGTTACACGCTCTTGCATTAGTAAACCTCCTACTTGTGAGTGGTTGCCGGTGGGTTAGGTGGGTGGGGGACAGGGTGGGGCCGTGGCTTAGTTTTACGTGTGTGTTTTCTAGCATTCAGGTTTTCAAAAAAATAGAAAACAGTAATATGTCTTTCTGTCTGTCTGTCTGTCTCTCTCTCTCTCTCTCTCTCTCTCTCTCTCTCTCTCTCTCTCTCTCTCTCTCTCTCTGCATATTATATATATATATATATATATATATATATATATATATATATATATATATATATATATAATATATATATATATATAATATATATATATATATATATATATATATATATATATATATATATATATATATATATATATATATGTATATATATATATATATATATATATATATATATATATATATATATATATATATATATATATATATACATACATATATATATATATATATATATATATATATATATATATATATATATATATATATATATATATAACTCAAAACTGCCAAACTGATCCCTTTTCCCTTTCTCTTCCACGCCCACTAGATATGGGGACGGAGGGAATGGATGACAGCCCAGTGTCCCCCACGCGCCCACCACCCTCGCCGCCTATGTCCCCACACAGCCTGCCCGCCCACGCCCGCGTCTCGGCCTTCTCCGTGGTCACCCCCCACGCCAAGTCCTCGCCGGGGAAAGGTAGGTCGCGACCTCTCTCTCTTGGAACTCGCATTGACTTCCTTATTACCGTTATTGTAATTATGATTATTTTTGTTGTTATTATGATTATTGTTGTTTTCATTATTATTATAAGTATCATCTTTATCGTTACTGTTGTCATTTTCATATGGCTTTTTTGAGTGGTTTGAGAGCACTGTCCCTCCGCCAACAAGGGCAAGAAGCGAACAAGTGAATGGGGGGGGGGGGGGTGCAAAGAGGGAGAAAGGGAGAAACGAAAGAAAGGGAGTAGAAAGACAGAGAAATGGAAACGAAAGAAATGGGAGATATAGAGAGGAATGGTGAAAGAGTGAGGAAGAAGGA